TGATGGAGTCCCATGAGAAGCAAAAGAGAAATTCAAAATTTCAATGCAGCCAGCTTTGCCTCTTTATCAGGGAAAATTCTGGGAATTTTTTGTACAATTTTATTTAAAAAAAAATTTTTTTAAAGATAAAAACTAATATAAAGTGAGGAAGAAAAAAAATGCCGGGATTTTTTAACAGATTCCACAGCCTGAAAAAGTCTGAAAACTCATTTTCCACCCCCCGCCCCACCCCTCACCTCAACTCACACTCATTACATAGGCTGTTTCTCTGCCACACTCAAGCATCACACCCACTGCTTCACACTGAGGGCCATTCACTCTTAACCACCCGCCTCCAGACCTGCACTTACAATGCGCCCACATCCATGATTTGTTACAAACTTCTCGGTCCCCTGAGTTTGGGGCATGCTTAATATTACACAACCACTGACCTGCATTCACTCAGCCCCCTCTGCTTCCCCTGATTTGCACAAGGGTTAAGGGGCGCTTGAACCTTCCACCTGTGCATGCTTGCACACCCGGTCTTGCACGGCGCACGCTCCTACTTCTGTACGCTAATTGCATCCATTGGTGGCAAGGTGCGTAACTTACAACAGCAGTCTTGCCCTGTCTGAAGACATACGAAATGGGGAGTGGGAATGTTGTTGTCCTCTGTTGCCCCAAGCCACAGGGGTAACATGACCACAGACACCAGGAGGAGCCTCCCACGTGCGTGAGCATCAGCGAGGGGAATAGGTTGCCACATGAAGTGGCAAGCTTTCTTTCACTGGGGCTCTTCAAACAGAAGCTGATAGGCATTGTTAGAGATGTTCCAGTGCGTCCTACTCTGCCGGGTTGGACTAGATGACCTTAAGATACCTTCTGATTCTGGGATTCTACCATCCTATGTTCACTCCCACGAGCAGACATCGATGCTCGCTCCCTCATGCCTGCCTATCCATGTGCACACACGGTCTCTGCTAAACACACTGGAAACGTCAGGCCGTTGCACCACATCCAAAGCATTTTTAATCTTGCCTTTCCGGCAAGTTAAATCTGGAAATCATCCAAAATTGCGGATCCAGATTCTCCACGGGTTGCAGGATCAGGCACCGAAGATCTCTTCTGCTTCCTGACGCCAGGAGGGCCTGAGGGAGATTTTGAGGAAAGATGGGAGAACGCAGTCATGCGCAGGGACCGAAGCTGCAGACGTGAGGTGGGGTTTTCACCGCTGGAGTGAGGGACACATGAGCGTGCAGATTCAGCCACGATCCGGATCTATAAAGGAAAAGAGGAAAAGCAATTCAGTGGGAGCTGAGGTTGGTGGGTTTTGACCTCGGAGCATGTGCGGGAAGGTCAAAAAAGTCAAAAGGCATGTTAACACGGGGCATGGGTTTAGGTGCACGGGCGGGGCCACCATTTGGATTATTTTACACCCCTTCCTAGCATGTGCCCCT